TTTAGCCAGTGTCAGTAATCCCACTGAAGGCCATAGCAACCTCATGCTGACAGATGACACTCTAAACTCAAGGAACCTGTTCTGTGACCCAGGCTTCATCTGCTAAATTCCCAGCTAGGCCCAGAAAAGAGGTGGCAAAGCCATTGAGGATCTATTGAAGACCTGCAGCTTTACCTCGGCTACTATTACTGGCACTGCAATGAGTCACAGCCATTGTCTGATCCTTTGTCCTGAAGAAAAGGCCACTGACAACTAAATGCTTTGTCATATCTGATAATTTTTAACCTTAGTCTCCAGATGTAGTAAAGAAAAACCTTCTCCTGCTGGAAATAAAGAGATTATCATAGTAAAAAGCTGAAATCTCTATTCTGCATATCAGCACTCAGAGGAACGAGAGGGTAACTATAGTGAGGTGGACATTCTCTTTGAACCCCTACTTTATGGAAAACTTAACGTAGTTCTCAAAGTCCTTCCAGACCACACAAGAGACTCACTAAAAACTTTTCTCTAGAGGTGTAGGAGGGATGGGGACACAAGATTATGAGGAATCCCGGGTCTGGAATCTGAATTTTTAACAGGCTCTCGTGGAACTGCCTTAAGCCATTCTTCTTCTTTACCAAATTTGCCCAAAGACCAATTCTGAGGAGAAACTCTGTTAGTGCAACATGAGAGAAGCCTGAGTCTCCTCCCTTCCTCCCTCTTTAAGCCTGGAGCTTGCCCACGGTATCACTTCCTAAATCACAGGCAGCTGCCCTTCTCCAGAGGAACACACTTCAGCAATTCCAGTAACCGTGCCCCAGAAGATCAGAGATAAAATACCTCACATTAGAAGCTAATACATATCAAGTGGGAGAAAACAAAATGAACAAATTCAACTTAGTTCAAATTTGGAGCTCAGTGGCGCTTAATTATTCTCTTACTTAAATGTCTTTTTGTGCCATTTGTTTACATTAACTGCAAAAGTTAACGTGACAGTGGCATAATGATTATTTTAATGAATTATAGCCTCTCAGTCTTTGGGGAAATTTTGTGTAACAGAAAAAACAGCAATGATTCCATATAAACCCCTGGCGATAAAGTGGAGATAACCTTTTTTCCAGTAAGCAGTATACAAAAAAGAATAAAGGGAACCTATCACTGTGGTCCCTCCGACTCACCTCCCAATCAGTGCAAAGAAAACAGGAGTTTGGGGAGTTGGAAAAACATAACATTGTAAAAAGCCTTTGAACTTTCCCAGTGGACAGGACACAGGGTCAAGAGAAACAGCAGCTTTCACTTTAATGCACACATCAGGAATACATGTGGAGAAGGGTACCAGTTAGTTCTTATTCCTGGTCTGAAGAGTTTAAGTGCCTTGCCTCTGAGAAAGACCTGCATGCATCTGAGAATTTCTTTTCCTTAAGTATAAAAGAACAATTCATGAACATCACAGGTTGTTCCAAGTTTCTGGTCACCCCCCTTCTCTCACTAGTTATTATGCATAGAAAAGAGGCTTCAATTTCAAAGCAACATTCTCATAAATGTCTCCATGTCCCTATTTTAATCTATGTTTGTGTGCATGAGAAAAGAAGAAATTACAAATTAAAATATTCTTGTAATGTTCTTAAAGCTTTCACTGAACATTTCAGGTTTAATTATGAAAATCAGTGCAATTTCAGAGTGGATGTTATTAAACAACAGCTCTCAGGAAGTGATTCTACTGATTAAATGGGAAATATTGTAAGTCAGACTGATGTGTTTGACATTAGAGTTCAGGTTATGGAGGAGTGAGAGAAAACACATATCCTTCCTGTGTTTAAAGGACTTAAGAAGAGACAGAAAATATAGGACCAAAAAATGAGAAGTGTATGTACATCACACACACACACACACACACACACACACACATACACACACATATCTGTATATGTATCACAAATTCACCTACTGTTTGTACCTGAGATGAGAGGAAGAACTGTGAATATCTAATCAAGATGGCCCTAGAGGGCTTTTTCTTCATGTTAATTAAGAAGTAGCCTCACCCCCAATTCCATGAATAACTAATTAGTCTTATGAAAATATCATCAGGTCATATTTTGTCAGGTTTCAGAGAAAGACAATGGCTTCAGCAGAGGTCAAACTTTTGATTTCCCTGAAAAAAGTGGGCCAACTCCATAGTAAACAAGACGAAAAGTCAACTAACCCAATGACCCTGGGCCCCAGGACAGCCCCATCTGGGAATCCAGAGCTGAAGCATATACAACATGGGTATCAGTCTCAGACAAGTGAATTTCAATCAACAGCTGCCTAGAGAAATACTTCAGCCTTTGGGCTCTTAGAACTATTCAATATAATTTTTTTAAGTTTGGCCACTTGGGAATAATTTTACAGGATTTAGGGCATTTGAATGCAAACATTTGTATGACTTCCTGTGGAATATTTAACTCACTGGGAGTCTTCAGAAAACATATTTGGGGGGACCATACAGATATATGGAAGGGACAAGGGTTTGGGGACACACACTCATTAACAAAATGTTACTGAGAGCTCACTGTGTGCTGGAAACTGCTATCAAATATTAGCTCTATCTCTAATCAATTTTCAAAATGTTGTTAAATCTTAGTTTCCTCATTTATATAATGAATTTGGAGTGAGTAATCAGATAATGATAGAATTATGAGCACCAAAGATCCTGCTAGTAGTGCATACTTTTGCCATGATATATTTGATTTCCTGTGGCCAAAGTAAGGCAAACTTTACAATGCTAGATCACTGTACAAAACTGAATAACCCTAGGGGAACAAAAAGAAACAAAATTCATTCAGAACTTGAATTTTTATTTTAAAAAATAGGGAGACAAAGAGAATAATTGGAAAAAGAACAGTAAAGAAAGCCTCCTTTTAAACAAAAAAAAACAAATTTAACTATGGTTTTAAGAGGTAACATGCACACTGTAAAACCCATTACTGGTATTACCTTCAATGCTTCAATAACAGCTGGTGGGTAGCTCAGTCCAACCATGTTTGATGTCCGTCTATACATTCTGGGAAAGTCAGAGAGAAAAGTGCAATGTGATTTCTTACAAAGCAGGATGAGGAATCCACAGACTTATACAAAACATTGACAAACAATGAAAAATCAAAATATTTGGGGACCCAAGTTATCTAAATTCCTTTTGTGACATTTTCAAAGTCATTCACATAGTCTCAGTGCTAAGTTCAAAACAAATTAAAGCAACCCCAAACACATGAATCACTGGGAAAAAATTAAAGTCTGTGTGTCCCAGGTTGGAAAGTAAATTATTAAAATGGGTCACCTGATTTTCCCAAAACAATTATAGTACAGTAGACACAGTATACATGAGCCTCAGTGAAGAACTCCTGAGGTAACCCATTTTAGGACTATCAAAAACAAGCAAGAAAAATGTCCCAGGTGAACTTGGAACTCACTACAGAATTCTGAAAACATGCAATTGTGCACAATGGGAATTCAGGGAAAAAACAAATGTATTTCTATGGTAGAGGATAATCCAACCTCAAAGGGCTAAGCAAAGTGTCATGGGGAACTCATACCCCTTAAACTAACTGTCCTCTCTGAGTCAGTTCAACATAGCCCTGACCTGTTCTGAAGGTAGGCACTCCACGTATTTCAAAGGATGATAGAATAGATGAATTTTCTTCTAGAAAAATTAGGTATTAAACTCAAATTAAATCTCTGGTTAAGAAAAAATTTGAACAAAGGAAAAAGCTTGTCCTAACAATACAATAGAGGTTTAAATAGGTATGGTTTTTGTCATTTCCTAGTAAAGACTGCATCCATCCAGAATTTTCAGTGCTTTTAAAGATATCAAAACCACTCTGGCATGTATTTTCGAGCTATTAGAAGCTGGTATTCCTTTTACTGCTTCAGTCATCAAATGGCATCTTTACCTCTCCACAAATATCCCAGCCTGGACTGCATGGACGATGCTCTTGAACCTGGGCTTCTCTTCACTCCTCCTGAGCATCATACCCATCTGCCTTGTGAAGGTGGAGGCCAGCCAGTCTCGGACCTCAGAAGGCACAGCATCTGACTGAATGTCACTGAGCTCGTCCTCCGTATCCAGGAGTCGCCTGAACAGAAGAAACATCACCAGGACACTGAGACCAAATCTGAAGTGAGAGCATGCTCTTCATAACAACTGCTTCTCCTCTACCCAGTGCATACATAAGTGCAAAGAAACCAAAAATTCAATTGACCACAAAAGAAAGTAGCACTTTAAAAGAAAGCACCATTTTAATAAGGCTGGAGAAATCTGAGCCACTTCAGCATGGCTTCCTTGATTGTAGTTGAATGTCACAGTTTGGATCTGGAGTCTCTCCCAAAGGCTTGTTTACTAAAAGTTTGTCCTCAGCCTGTGGCACTGTTGGGAGGTGGTAGAAACTTTGAGAGGTGGGAACAAGTAGGAGGTTTTCAGGCTACTGGGGACATGCCCTTGGAAAGGACTATGGTGTTTAATGCCTCTTCTTTCTCTCCTTTGTTTCCCAGCCACAGGTTGAGCAGCTTTGCTCTACCACCTGCTCCCACCATGATGTGCTGCCTTGCCACAGGTTCAAAAGCAATAGGGCTACTTGACTAGGTTCTCAAGAATCAGGGGGTAAAATAAACCTTTCTTCTTTATAAGCTGATTATCTTGGGTATTTGTTACATGATGGAAATCTTACTAACATACTGAGCAAAGGAACAAAGGGAGGGGTCAAACACACTCTACTTCAGTCTCCATTGGCGACAAGAGCACCCAGGATCCTTACTCCTTGCAGGCTAATAGAACTTGAGTGAAATTTAAAGTTTTCCTTTAAAAATGCTTTCCAAGGAGGCATAAATAACTTCATATACATATCATGTGGTATTATTTTATGCAAAGATAATGAACACTTAAAGACCGTATGACATATTACCCAACTCACAGCAAACCAGTCATCTGACATAATGATCTTAAATAATGATAAACTGATATTCATTCTGATTTAATATGATATAAAAGAAACTTACATTTCTAAATTCAAACAATATTTCCAAAATGCAGTTTTATGGAACAATGATTTAAGCTATCACATTTGTCATTGGTCAGAACACTAGAAAGGAACATAAAAGTGATGCTATATTAAAATCTAAAGTTGTATTTTACACTTACATTAAGCCCTACTAAAATAAAATAAGAAACAAAAGGTTTTTGTGTGTATGTTTCTTAAAATGTATAAATTGAGGAGGACAGTAAACGTAACATTTGGAAAGAAAGGTGCTATAACTTTGATCTAAAATGTAACCCAAAGGTCTCACGTTCAGAGGTTGGGCCTGATCAGAAGGTTCAGTTCACTGCGAGTGTGATTTAGAAGAGTGTATTTTCATCTTGGGCTCATTCCCTCTCCCTCTCTCTGTCTCTCTCAATCTCTCTGCCCCCACCATGTGCTGACAACAATGTGGTAAGCAGTTTTCCTGCACCAAGCCCTTCTACCATGTCATTTTGGCCTTGGTGCCACCACCATAGGCTAAAACTCTGAGGCAAAATAAACTTCTGCTTCTTTAAGTTTCAGATATTGGGCATTTTTGTCTCAATGGCCGAACACTGACTAAGTCAGAAATTGGTAACCAGAGTTGGGCCACTGCTGAAACTGTATCTGACCATGTGGTCTAGAAACCTTTGGGATTGGTTTACAGGAAGATTTTGGAAATGTTTGAAGATATGGGTTAGAGAAGCCATAGAATGTTTTGAGCAAGGGGTAATATGTGATACTGGCAGGAGTTCAAAATACCAGAAAACTGATAGGAAGGCAGAGAGTAAAGGCCAGGCTCAGGAGGTTTCAGCTGAGAATGAGGACTTCATTGGCAGTTGGACTAGAGGCCAACTGTGTTATGGTCTGGCAGAAAATCTGTCAACATATCCTGATATTCTGCAGGACAATGAGAGTATGGGCAGCTGACTAATCTACAGGAGGAAATTTCAAGGCAGTCTAATGTGGGAGCTGAGGCATGAGTATTGCTGGCTGCTTTTAGCCAGATCTACAGGGAGATGAGTGCCAAAAATCAAAGCTGAATAATTCAAAATATTTTGTTGGTGGCCAGAAAGAAATGCCTGTACAATTAGAAGTGAGGAGAACTTGGCTGCTGAACACATTAGTACTAAAAAGAAGCCAAATACTTTGCATCAGGATAATAGAGAAGATGGCTTAAAGGTATCTCAGGAATGTATTTTATATAGTGAGATACACACGAGTCTTTCGGGGCTAGAGGCATAATGTTATGGTTTAGATCTAACATGCCTCCCAAAAGTCTCATGTTCAAAAGTGGGATCTGCTTAGAACAGATGCATCACTGGGGCATAACCTGGAAGGGTATATTTCCTTCTCCAGGTCTTTCTCTCTCGCTGTCCATTTCCTAGCTGCCATCATGTGAGCAACTTTCCTCTGTGCAGCCTTTCTATCATGCTTTGTCTGGATTGGAGCTGGCCTACCACTGACTGAACTCACCGAAACTGTGAGCCAAAACAAAACCTTCTTTCTCTAAATTGTGGGTATTGACGTTTTTCTACCAGCAGCAAGAAACTGACTAATACAGACTATAATATCAGATTTCCTTAAATTAGAAACAAATCACATCACTGCAAAAATAAACCATATCATCCTTAGATTATAGTGAAATACTTTCATATTAGAATGTGGCAAAGAAAGTAAAACATCGGAAATAATGATAGAAAAGCTTTTTTGAATTAGGAAAAAAGCTTTTGTATTCAACATTTCAACATTTTTCAAAAGAAAAAAGCAATTTTGTTACTTTCAAGTACATTCTTAGTACAAGGAACTACTTTAACTCTTTCAGATAATTCAAGTGATTAAGAAAATCAATAACATACACATGCGTAATGAAGGAATACTGAGAACAAATATTTCTAAAAAACACTTCAGTACCCTCAAGTTACATCAGGGTATTTTGAATTAAAACAAACATAAATTTTTAGACTGATATTAACAATATGCAATAATTAATAGTACCCTATATATGAGAAAATCTTACCAAAATTGTTAGGATTACTTCTTCTGTTATATTACCTCACTTCATTGTCCCAATGGTCATGTAAGATAAGTTTTACTAGCTTTCTTATAAATGAGGATGCATATAAGGGATGTGACTTGTTCAAGCCTATCCCATTTACTTATGGAAACAAATATTTCAAGCCATTAATTTGATCTATACTTCCTAATTGCCTTGGGGGACAATTTTTAAAAGTTATTTTAAATATCTCATGGTTTCTGTTACATAAGAAGCCCAAATTATAAATAAAAAGCAAAGTAAAACATAGATAATAGGAAGTAGAGAGATAAATCTTTCTCAAATGGGAAGGGGACCAAGAGATGGGAAAAGAGTTGAGGAGGGAGAGGGAGGGGTTGAAGAAAGGAATTAAAATGCATTATACATATATACCAGTTCTACACAATGAATGTAAACATTATGTACTACAAACAAAAAAATATGCTATTTAACAGAAAATTTAGCATCACTTTACTTATCTCTCTTGTTATTTTTTAGCTCACCTGGTTTCATCAATATATACAGATTCAAGCACTGTGGCTGCATATTCCAGATTCTTCTTAAGATCTACCACTGAAGCCTCCCCTCTCTCTAACTGTTTGACCAAGGACCGTAACCTAGGGGGAAGAAAAGATATGGTTTCATTAGACTTGAGGAAGTAAAGAATAATTCTTCAATTACTGGACACATATTTTACACCATTAGATATCCTTATTTGTTCCAAAACATCTGAAAGGAAAATAATCATGGACCAAAGGAATAAGATATAAAATAAATAATATATTTTTTCCCATTGTTAGAAAAGAGCAAAAATTTTCTAAGCAACCAGGCCTAATGATCCCCAACACTTTCTAGCCACCTTTTATCTTTGAGGTGCTAAATTATCACTGATTTTGTTTTTTCTTGGAATTTTATTTTCTTGATATTAACTAGATATAGTAAAGTATGGCCAGCAGCACTTTCACCTAATATCTCTTAAAATTTTGCTGTGTTCTGGCATTTTGTTCAGCACTGGTCATTAAGAACAGAAGACTACAGTCCAGGGATGCTTCAAAACAGATGAAAAGATTTAAACCACCACAATACCCAGAGAAGATTGCCATATAAATAGATGAATGTAAACCATTTTGCTGCATAGGAAGAATCCTTGTGAAAGTAGAAACATGCTATGTTTTTAAAAATGAGGATGGATGATAAGCAGAGGCATTCTAGATAGTCCAGGAGAAATAATAAAACAAGTATTCCTATTTATATGAGCATTATGTGCACAGAGGACTTAGTATATATGAGGGCAATAAAATGCCTGCAGGTGTTCAAAGTGCAATAACTGGGAACAGTATAAATACCACGGAGATCTGGAGAGGAAAAGACTCATCAGGCTGTTTGACAGCCAGCAAAGAATGAGTGCAGACTCTAAAAACAAACCGGTTTGAACCCCACTTTATACCGTAACCGCTGTACCACACTAGTTAAGTTATTTATCTTTTCTGAGTGCAATCTATAAAATAGAAAGCTGACTATAAACTTTCCCAGTTGACATAAAGATCAAATGAAATTAATATAAATTAATGCTTTTTTTAAAAGGCAATTGTTTTCAAAACAAGATGATGGGACATTAACAATGGTTGTTGGGGCTGGGGATTTAGCTCAGCGGCACAGTGCCTGCCTGGCAAGTGCAAGGTCATGAGTTCAATTCCTGGTACCGGAAGAAAAACAAAAACAAAAACAAAAACAAAAAACAAAAATAAATGAGGCAACAATGGTTGTTATATTCCTTTTTACTGTTTTTGTGTTGTTTTGTTTTTGTCTTTGTCATTGTTATTTTGTTATTGTTTTTTTCTTTTTAAAATTAAAAAGGCAACTGTTTTAATTATTATCATTGCTGTGATTCAGGGGCCTTGATCATCATGGCTAACAAAACAAAAATAATTCTGGCTGGATATTTGAGCCCACTGGTATCAAATCAAGTCTTCATTTCCCCTTGGTTTATGTAATTTGCCCTCATCTTCCAAAATATCCTCAGATTTGACTCACAGGGCAGCATAGATTGACTTTTGGCAAGGCATAAACTATTCCTCTCCCAGTGTTCACTAAAATGACAAAAAATAATGAGAAAAATTCTGGATCAACCTTAGCAAGCAAGAGAATTGATTATATGAAAATAATTTTTATGCTATAAAATACAGATGAGATTAGATTGAGGGGAATCTCCAACCTGTCTTGTGGGGAAATACACAAGGAAAGTCAGCAGAGGCCTCTGCAGGCTTGGAGGTAAAGGTCAGTCTTGTGGACGCTCTTAGCAACATTAGGAAATATTCTGGATCGTAGAGGCTGTACCAGCATGCAGAGTTGGCCCAGAAGGGCCTGCCAGTCACCCACAGACAACAGACAGCCCATCTGCTGACGAATGGGGAGATGGCAGGAGAAAGCCCTGACTGCTATTCCAAATAAGGATTGGAAGCTCCTCAGCAAACACATTCCTGGCTAAGTCTGCCTCCAATTCTGAGTCTCACCTCAAGGGGCCTGGCTACCTCTAGGCTGTTTGGACTTTGCACTGGGAAAGGAAAAGGAGAACAACTGCAACTTTTCAAAAATGTCCTCCTTCTGTTGGAGCTGAAAGATTCTACCAGGAATTTAACACGCATCTCTGAAATAAGTCTTCCCCATTCTCCAAATCTAAGAGCAAAGAGCAAAATAGAAAGAAAAATGAGGGAAATATGACTAATAGAAATAAGAATAAGAGGTTCTTATCTACCTATAACAGGGCTTCCACAGGAAATAAACATACAAAAGTGTCTTTAATTAAAATAAGTTTTCCTAGACTAAAATCAGACCCAGATAAACAGGTGAATAGGGACCAAATAAAACTACGAAAAAAAAAATAAATGAAACATCTGACATACGCTGTTGTAAGTTTTTATTTCAAAAAATAATTTTTAAGGAACTTCAAAAGGTTTGAGGAGATGAAACATGTTGGTTTCAAAGTAACAAAACTTCATGCTGGCCATAGACACCTACCATGTCAAACACCAGAAAGCAATTTAACAACAGTAGCCGGTGTGGAGAACAGCATGGTATAACCGAAGATAGTTATGCCTATACCTAATAGAATTTCCTTGTACATATGATACCAACAAAGATATTGTCAGGTGTTGATAGGTTCAAAATGTTATTATGCAAGAGCTTTGTACATAACCAAAACAAACTTTGAGGCATACTCCAGCACAGTGATCTTCCAAGGTTGCGCACTCACAGCTTTCCAGTTCAATGGACTATAGATTCATGGCCTAGAGTTAACTGAGCCAATCTGTAAAACCAGCAAGTAGTTTCAAAAATCCCTGAAAGAAGTGGCCAATAAAATGTAATGCTATACATTGAAGCATTTTTGAAAATTAAAAAAAAAATAGCAATAACATTATGCTGTTTTGTAACCTACTGTTTCACTTAACGGAGTGTACCTTTTCACCTCAATAAAATCACATCAACATCGTGATCTCTTAATGATGTAGTAACTCACCCCGATGCTAATACTACAAAGACAACTAAATATGAAAATAAGCTGACACTTCTGTTCCTAAAATATGGTCCTATTCTTATGAACTAAAATCTAAGAGTCAAGAAGCGATTAAAATGATTAAGAACCTTATACAGATTATGGATTCATACCAATTATTTTAAATAATTCCTACTCCCAGGAAATCACAGTGTTATGGTCTATATCTAGATGTCCCCTCCAAGCTTCATGCCCTCATAGGCAAGGCTTTGAGAAGACGACTAGATTACGAGGGTTTAGAGCTGGCTTGCTGTTAGGATGTGGGGTCTGGTCAGAAGAGGTGGGTCATGGAGAGCATGGCTTGGAAGGATTTCTCTCCTTCCTCAGCTCCTCCCTTTGCTCTCTGTTTCCTGGATGCCAGGAAGTGAGCCACTTTCCCTCTGTCAGGCCCCTCTCCCATCATTCTGCTCTGGAGCCAGCTGTTCTTGGACTGTAACTCTGAACCAAAATTAATCTCTTCTCTTTTACTTTGCACATATCAAGTATTTTGTCCCAGTGATGAAGAAAATGATTAGAACACTTTATGGAGGGTATCAAGTTGTAAGAGCCTCATGTTATCTTGTTATTAGGAAATTTGGGCTCCAGGCCAGAGACAGAGTAGAACTCTCAGAGAAAGCATCACTTGGAAACCCCACTCAGTAGCTTAGATCAGCAGCTCTGAAAAGCAGCTCCACAAGAAAACCTCAAATTCTGTGCAAGGGTCAGCAGTACAAGTGACTCCTCCTTGATGTAGATCACTAGTGGCACCACTGAGCAGTTTTATTTGTTTATCGGGATGGTGTGATCCAAAGTAAAACTGTAAACAAAAACAAAATTTACCAAAGGGCTTCTACTGACACAAATACTTTCAAATGACACAGAAATAAAGTACTTTTAGGATGCACCCCCAATTCTGTGTCTACCTCACTTTTTAGCTTCTGAGATAAGTGGAAGATTCCACCAACATCCTGGCAGGTAGAGGAGGGAATTGGGACCATTCACCTTCTGTTTGGGGAAGACCACCCAGCTGACATTTATCTCTCTTGATTCAAGAATGATTGAGCAGGAAAAAGATCTATGAAAAGATTCAGCAATGAAGACAGAGAACATGGCACACACAATGCAGAGAAAGGACTCACTTTTCAAACAAACTTCACCAAAGGAAAAAGAAGTAAATTTCAGGGAGCATGTGCTATTGATTCAATAAAAATCAGGAAAGAATAGATTTGTGGAACCCAGAACCAATGTGATAAATAGGGAACAAGCCAAGGGAGAAGAAGCAATTTAAAACAAACAAAACCTGACAGCAGAAAACCAATAAAAAATTTTTAAAAGATGCGGTAATCAACTTTCTAAACACCCACCTTCTGTTAGACCCAACCCCCACGTCAGATACAAAGTACAGCTGGAGGCTTCTTTGCTGCACAGCACAGGGTAAAATGTTGCATCACTTCAGTTACCTGTGCCCTCAAGCCCAGAACAAGCCCTGGAAGCAGGCTTCTCTGCATCCCTGTCAGTACGGGATGGATAAAGGAGCTGAAGGAAGGAGAACAGGTGAGAAGAGTTCTGAATGCTGTATCTTGGAATTCAAAAGGCAGCTGAAGTAGAGGAGAAAGTCTTTTTTCCCCACAAAAATAATACCTACGAGCAATGGTGGCTTTCATCAGGAAGCAACTTATTGGCTCAACTTTATAACTTAGAAAACTGTCCCATGGATGAGGCATTATCCCTTTCCTAGCTGAGGCCCTGAGAACCCTCCAAGGCAATGCTGAGAGCAGGTGCAGTTGTTGAGTTTTAGCCTCTGCTAGAATGAAATTATCAGAAGAGCAAAAGCAAAAATACATAGGCATAAAAAGCTACACAGATACATTTCTTACATCTCTTTGTTCTGCATGACATGACTCCTTTTGAGGATGGATAAGCAGCTCCTAAAATATCTGTGTGGCCATGGTGGCTGTTCAGACTGACTTTGTTTATTTAGAAAGAATGCAAAAGAGAACTGGATCCTTTACATGTCCCAGTGAATCGTGAGTCCTAAAAGCTCATTTGAATAAAACACTCCACTTCAGTTCATCACATCAGTGC